CTAGACGATTAAGATCGTCTTGAGAGTCCGGGCATTTTGGTGCTTAGGGGGGGAGTAGTTCTTCCATTTTTGTACTATATATATCCCAGTTGGCTTTCCTGGGGTTTAGGGCTTTCAAGGGACAGGACTGTCTCGATATACCTATGGTCAGAGAAGGAATGGTCCTCTAGGACTTTCCAACTCTTTACTATGTCTGACAGTTTGTGAGACAATAAAGTGAGGTCAAGAACCTCCCGACTGTTTTTTATAATGAAGGTGGGATCCCTTCCCCGATTAAAAATAACCAAACCCATTGAGTGTGGTGAGCATTGGCTGTCGCTGGCTATCTTGCGAACAAGGTCACTTGTAGGATCGCTTTCCTTGTGAGCCGTGTAGGAGGACACCAGTCTTAGGTGTGTCCCCTGTATCTCTAGGCTAGCCGCCGTGTTGTCGCCATTGCTAAAATTGTGGAGCAGAAATATATTTAGGTGTCTTTTTGCCAGTATGCAGGTACGAGTTTTGCCTTCTGTTTGGGCTACAGTAAGCTTGTAGCCCTTCGTCGCTAATCCACAGACCCTCCCTCCTATCACCCAAGGATCCTGGATTAGGACTACGTCGGCTCCGCTTGAAACCAAACGGAGTGTGAGAGCAGCGGATGCTGCCTTACAGTGGTGGAGACTGATCTGCAGAAGTCTTAGAGACATCGTTATGATCAATCTCCACCAATATTGTGTCAGCGTCCGAGTCGTCGGTGACACACACGTCCTCGCGACACATTGCCTCAAAGTCCCTCATGAGGGTCGAGTCTGTGAGATATCCATCCTGTTCCGGCCCCAGCTCCTCATCGGGTGCTTCGATCTCCGAGGCAACCTCCTGCTCGACTGGCTTGTCGACAGGACGTTCCTCGGCCGCTGCGTCCGACTTGTATACTTGTGACCGAGCTGAAGCCGAAGTTCAGTCTTAGCGTCCTCAATCGGGGCCAGCGACTCCTTGTTGAGAATGACCACCACTTGATTTGTGGGGCCTGGTCGTCTCCACTTTCACAACCTTCCAGTCCTCGGTGGGACTCAAGGACCCTTGAGCGCTTCGCAGCAGGTCCTGGCGTCTCCTGGGAGCGTTGCCTTTTAGGTTGAGGAACCTCCCTTGGTGGCTTCATGCTGAAGTCTGGGAGGACCGCCGTGGCTCACTCCACCTTCTTCAGCCAGTCGGCCGACGGGCTGGTCTCCGTGCTCGCATTCTGGCAACACAGTTGGCTTGGGCACTGGTCGACGGCAAATCGTCTCCCTCCACTTTACCAGAAGCTCGGGCAGCCGCAGTATTGCTTAGCTGCCTCTCCAAGGTGTCTGTTTTGGGTTTTGAAGTGCCACCCACCCCGGATTCGGGTTGCGACCCCACCGGGTTCGTACCAGTACCTTCACCGAGCAGGACTTTCCTGCGATTGAGCAGGTTAGGCCAGGCCTTTGGGCCACTGCCTTCCCCTGCTTGGGATTGCGTGTGTTTGTGTTATTTTCTTTGTTTTGCTTTTTTTCCATATTATTCTAACGATCTGCAGAGAAGGGGAACGGTCAGCCCGGGCAGAGATCCACGTTGCCCAGGTAAGGCATCATTAGAACAAGGGGCTGCCATGTCCCTGAGCTCTCCGTTCGCGACTGGGCTAGTTTTTATATCGGGCCCCCAGCAAGGCTGACTCTCGGCACGGGTAGAATGAGACCTTAGTCCGGCCCGGTGTGAGGTGAATGTTGTGGTCGGGATGTGGGTAGGTATTGTGTAGGGATGGGAGTGTGTGAGCTACTTAATGAGAGGCGGCACCACAAGCGCATCATCAGTGTTGCTACTTCGCGAAAACCCGAGGGCTGTCCGAGACTTCTTATTTCGGTACTCCGCTTACTCCGGGATGTCCGCTTATTCACAGCTGACCTACCCACCAGGGTAGGCCGTTCGCTATCCACAACCTGGACCCGTCCGGTGGCCTCAGCTAGGCCCCCTCTGAGCCACTTTAAAGCCCAATAGGTTCATCGGAGTGGCAAAAATTAAAGAAGGTGTATTTGATGGCCCCCAAATTCAATAACTACTAAAAGATGATGGATTTGAAAATATTTTATCTACAAATAAACTCAATCCGACTGGTTACAATAAAACGAGAAGGAACGTGTGAGTCGCTTTTGGGGACGCGACTCTACTTATACCCGTACTCAGTCAGTATATACATTTTTGAGCATATGATTTTTCAGAATTTTAGAATTAAAAAAAAAAATTGTAGATGTTACATTTTTTTGCTACATATGTTATCTACATATACATATACAATGTATATTCTACATCTAACATGTAGATTATACATGTACCATTTAGATTCTACATCTCCTCCGCTAGGGGTTGCTCGCGCACTGAAAGCGGCAGAGTGTGCGAGCGAGAAAGAAAATCAGTTGCGTGTTTCATGCTGGGGGAGACGGGGGAAGCAACTGAAAATGAATTTCTTCATTCTGGCTATAATTATAATCCCATCTGATTCAGATTCGGCAATCTGGTAGATAAGGTCATTCTCTCCGATACCACGCTTTCAGTTTTATCGTATTTTTAAAAATGTGCCTGCCACAGATTTTCGTTCTTTGTGGTGGCGGAAGGGGGCAGGGCGAAATTTTGAAATTCACTTGTAGCAGTGTGATATCACATGAGTCTGGAAACCAAATTTGGTTACCCTAACTCTTATAGTCTCTGAGATCCAGGCGCTCAACAAGACGGACGGACGGACGGACAGACAGACATGGCTATATCGACTCGGCTATTGATGCTGATCAAGAATATATATACTTTATGGGGTCGGAAACGTTTCCTTCTCTGCGTTACACACATCCACTTTTACCACAAATCTAATATACCCCTTAACTCTTTTTTGAGTACGGGTATAAAAATTTCTTTGTAACAGCAAGAGTGATGATTACGTTAATATCGTTCAAGACCTAATTGAGAATTATGCAACAATTGGAGCCAAAATGGCACTAAAAATCCATTTCCAAACCTAGGGGACGTTAGTGATAAACACGGAGAGAGATTTCGCCAATAATTAAAAACTATGGAACGACGGTATCAAGGTGTTTTGAATGAGAATATGTAGGGGAGAGTACACTATATGTGTACTCTCATAAGCGAACCTGATTGGAATGACAAAGGAAGACATCCAGAAAACATAACCTATTTTAAGAACAGTAACAAGCAGTAGAAAACAAATTTATTACACACGCTTAAAAACTTGTAGCAACTAAACACCAAATAAAAAACGAAAAAAACAACGAAAGAAGTAACTGTTAATAATATTTAATGCCAAAGGAACACGTTCAGGTACCAAAGAGACAACCCTTTTTGTTTGTCTACTTTTTAAATATTTTAGGTTTGGTTAACGAATTATAGCTCCACCCTCTCTCCGTAGATTTGAATGAACAATATCCTAAACGACGCCTAATTAATGCTATCTAAATCTTAAAATGCATTCCAAGAAATATTTTTTTTCTACTTTGCCTGAGTTTTTAAAGTCAAAATTTCGGTATAAAATATCAAATTTGAATATGAAAGCTTTCTTCCAGGCGTTAAGCTGCAGCTACAAAGTGTCTGGACCGGACTTATAGCTGCTCTTGTCGGCTTTCAGAACTGCAAAGTTCAATGCAACCAGATATAAGATACTTAAGTTATTTGAAAAACTATTTGAGCACTACCTCTGAAAAGACACATACATAAAAATCCTGATTTTTTTAAATTCTAAAAAAAAAAAATATGCCATACAAAAAAACCATATTTCGTTAAACTTTTTTAAATGTCGTGTCGACTAGTGAAATTATCGTACCCTCGTATTATCGATATAACGAGAAGGAACGTGTGATTCGCTTCTGGGCACGCGACTCTACTTTTATAACCGTACTCAGTCAGTATATAAATTTTTGAGCTTATGATTTATGTAAAATTTTACAAAATTTTAAATTTTACATTTTTTGCTACATCTGTTATCTACAATGTATATTCTACATCTAACACGTAGATTCTACTTATACCATTTAGATTCTATAACTCCACCGCCAGCGGGCACTCGCGTACATAACGAGGCGGAGTGTGCGAGCGAGTAGCGTGGTCTCTTGCTGGAGGAGGTGGGGGACGCAACTGAAAATTAATTTCTTTATTCTGGCTAATAATGATCTGATATGGTAGATTGGTCATTCTCTACTATACTTCGTTTTGAGTTTTCTCGTATCTTCAAAATTGTGGCTGCAACAGATTTTCGTTTTTTGTGAGGCCGGATGGGGGCGGGCGAAATTTAGAAATACACTTTTAGCAGTGTGATATGACATGAGTCTGAAAACAAAATTTGGTGGCTCTAGCTCTTATAGACTCTGAGATCTAGTCGCTCATCAAGACGGACATGGCTATATCGACTCGGCTATTGATGCTGATTAAGAATATATATACTTTATGGGGTCGGAAACTTTTCCTTCTCTGCGTTGCACACATCCGCTTTTACCACAAATACAATATACCTCTTATCTCTTTTTTGAGTACGGGTATAAAAATAGAACATAGTATGTAAATATATATGGGAGAGAAAGTGTTATCAAGTACTGCTGATTGGGATATTGTATCGAAAATCTGAGTACGTTTTTTTATCAGGAAATCAAATATGTTATACAGATAAGGCAGCAGAATAAAGTTTCGTCCAACTTGATCAATTCACAGTAATCATTGAGCTTAGGAGTTGAAATGCAAGAAAAAAAAAACAAACAATCAAAAAACAATTTTAACAAAATCTTACAAAGGTAATGTAACTTTGATATTGCATAACATTTTCTCATAATATTTGAGATCAAGGCGCTAATGAAGACTGATTAATGGCTGTATCGATTCGGCTATTATTCATATATACTTCCTGGGGTCGAAAACGCTTCATTCTGGCTTTTACTCTTCGTTGTACTGTTTGGGTATCGGGTATAAAAATGTCGGGAAGCTAAAATAAATGTATCTTAACATTTCTTTTCCAGCTCATTGAACTTTGTAAATAGTTCCTGTATACAAATAATGGCTTGGATTCTCATAACTATCGGACTATGCATTATAATGACTGCTTCACTAATATACAGCCCTGTCTACAATGACAATACCAGAAAAGACAGATTAGATGAAAGTGAAGAAATTTTCGAGTTCTTATCAAAAGAGCAACGGTAAAAAATCTATTATAAAATAAAAATCATATGTTCCTTTATTTTAAAATGTATATATATAATTCGATTTTCAGCAAAGCCTCAGATAATATATCTAGTACCACCATGATCGGATGTACGGAAGTATCTTGTAGAATTGCCTGTTCAAACAACGAAAATTTATACAAAGACATGTCTGCCATAATGAATACGAGCTCTTGTGAAATTATCACATCAATAATTATTTCGAATCAATTCAGATATAGTCTTGAAAACAAATGGACATATAAAGATGTTGATGTGTTAGATATTATTCTAAGCAATAGCCACTTGACTGAAATCAAAAGTGCTTCATTTAACATACCTTTATTTGCGAAGGTGTTTCAAATGTCCTGGATTAACCTGAAGCTTCAAAAACTTGACAGTGGTGCTTTGCTTGGTTTATACTCGTTAAAAAAACTGGAGATAGATTCGAAACTTCCAGCTGTCAGCATGGCATTTTTACAGCCAGTGCAGACCACGCTAACACATCTTAAATTGAATGTACACTTCATATTTTATAGTAACTTGAGTCTATTTGAGAATATTTATCTTGAAAAAGTAACTTATTTGGACCTTAGCTACAATAGATTTCTTGGCTCGCTTAACAAACGAATATTTATGGCCGTGCCTAACACAACTTACCTCTATTTACAGCATTGTTCGATAACTGCTATAGAAGAAAATGCTTTTAATGATATAGCTCATAATTTAAAGATTGTTAATCTGGCATATAACATGCTTTCTACAATCAGTTATACTGTGCTAACAGGAATTAATCCTATATATATTGAGCTTGAGCCTAACAATTGGCTTTGCAATTGCGAACTTTTGTCCTTGATAAATTACGTCTCTAAAAACTCTAGGCTTTTTATAAATGTACCATATTGTCGCTTACCCTACAACTTTTTTGGTATACACTTTAACGACCTAGACAACAGTGAAATAAATTGTTCTTCGCCTAATGATCTTGTTATTACAACCCAGAAAACATATTTTTCGACCACAACTGCTGAGAAATCAAATCAAACATCAGCAGGCTGGCAAGATGAATTTTCGACACCAACTACAATAGAGAGTGGTAAATACACTGGTTCTTATACAAATGAATATGCTTACGGTCCTATACTACAGTTTAGTTGTTCTCAGGCGATTGATTTAAATGAAAGTGTGCACCTCAGTTACGATGCCCAGCGAGAAATAAACACAGATAAGGTCGAACAAAATCAGTCAAACTATGCCAATGGCGTTTTTGTTTTTCAACCACCCACCTATGACCTCTATTTGGAGCTATCTGATGACTTAAGTGTACAAGTACGAATTGATAACTATTATGCTGCAGATCAGTTAAACATTATTTGGTTTACAGAACTGTTCGATGGTAGTACAGATGTATTCGATGTAAACTACTCATATAACTGTGTGCAATATTCTGGTCCGTTTTTAACCATTGCACCACTTCATGAAAATCATACTTATACTTTTTGTATGTTGCCGACAGATAACGTAGTTATTTCCCCGCTCTTTTGTCAACCTCTTTATGTACCTATGGTTGGAGAGAAAACTCTTAGTGCAACGGATTCGGTTCAAAACAGTAATAAGCAGTTTTCAGTCGGCATGCTCTGCTTAATTTTTTTTGTTTCTACAATTTTTGGTGCAACAATTGCATATCTTGGTATCAAAGTATACCCTGATCTTTTAGAGGGCTCAAAGAACGTATTAATAATTAAAAAGTTGGATAAAACGTGCTATATATCAACCATAACAGAATCGGAATACACACTAGATGCAAGAAAAATAAAATATTTTGGCGCACAACTTGGCAATGATACTCGGCAGTAAGTAATCCTTTTGAGTTGTTTTAAACATATAAATAAAAAACATTTTTTTACAGTCCTTATTCAGAAGAAATAGATGTGGACACTAGAAGTGTTCTTGGCAGTGTTTATAAAGTAGACGAGTATGAAATGCCTAAAGAGCTTGATTGTTCCATAAAAGAGTATAGTGATCTCAGTTATGAAAGTACCGTTGCCATTCCCCCCCCATTACCAAAGCGCAATTCTAACAATTTATTATTAAATTAAAGCAAGAAATAATAAAAGTAATAATAATAAAAGGACAAATTGATATTGGCTGATTCGTTTGGACTAAAAAAGATTTTTTTTAATTTAAATGGTTTTAACAATAAGAAACATTTACTTAATTTACTGTTACTATTATTTGCAGCTTAGTTTCTATATACAAGATTTAAAAATAAATACGCGACAATTGGGGGCATTACTGGGCGTTGTTCAATTAGAGTTCAGGTAGTTTTAAGTTATATTACATTTTTCTTGTAGCTTGGTCTACTGGGTGAATTCGTTTGAGTCGACGTCTGGTTCTGCTCCACGTGAGTCTTCCTGCCAGAACGTTGGGATGATTACGAAGCTTCGTCAGGTTGCGCTCTGCCTGCGCATTTATAATGTTGCCAATGGGGTCGACCCCACTGTCGCTGTCGATGTCCCTGTTTCGGATTTACCAGTCAGCTCCAGTTGCCATGCAGAGGACCTTGCTCTGGAACACCTTGATCATATTCAGGTGGGATTTGGCTGCCGTACCGTACACTTGGGCGCTATACCTCCATACGGGCGCCAAGATAACCTTGTAGATAAGGATCTTGTTGGATAAGCTTAGCTAGCTAACTGTTTTCTAATGTAGGAGGCGATAGAGCTTTCTGGACTTCGAGTGTCTAGAGTGACTCCCAGGTATCTACACTCCTTCCGCTGATCCAGCATCTCACCGTGTAAGAAGACTACACGACACGTTTCTCTTCGGAGCATGTGGGTCACCACCACGCACTTCTCCGGGTTCACCGAGACATTCCATCGACACGCCCTGTTTGGTCTCCCAGCGGAGAATTATTTAATATGTTTTAGTCAGTGGTGCAACCTTAAAGTAATTCCTGTTATTTGTTCTCTTTCGTAGTGACCAGACGTTTTTGTTTTGCGCTCCGCATTTTCCTTTTGTTTAACTTAAACAGCCGGTGTTTTTTATCTATAATTTAACTCTCTAACTAACTTACATTAAAATCATACTTTTACCGCGGGTGCATGCCTGATAATTGTGTAAAAACACAACTTATTTAATAAATTGTGTGCGTCGGTTAGTCGTGTGTTTGTGTTGTTGCTTTTCGTAAGTACGCCCTCTCATTACATTTAGCCGCTCTTTGTCGTAGTTATTGCCATCTATCACTCTCTCTATCACCTAACTCTCAATAACTGTTCTTTCGCTCTCGCTCTTGTAACTTGTTGTGCAGTAACGCTCTCACTTGTAAAGACCTAGAAGTCTTTACAGACCTCACCTTCCTCACTATACCCCATGCGACTGAGGACAGGCCATGGAACTGCCACTGGAGGCAGTATTTTTACCTTTATTCGTTTTTTGTGCTATTATGCCCCCTACCCACAACGCTACCCGCCACTGAAGGCCCAAAGTCAAATCACATCTTTGGTTTTTATTAATAAGTAGTTATAAGTAACAATAAGTAAACAACTAAACCCGACACTGAAGGCGTTAGACCATTTTCAATACCCAAAATATTACCGATGGTGGACGAGGTGACAGCCCCTGAAACTATCGGAGAAAAAAAACGGGGTGAGGCTATCGAAAAACAACAGGGCTCGAGGCAAGAAAAATCTGAGCGGCCGGGCACTTAAGATCGAACCTCGAAACTACGCGGAAGCACGACTCCCAGCTACGCACCGATACCGGCACAACACGACAAAATAACCTCGCCCAACTCGGTCCGACCCACGAGAATCGAATCACGATACAAAAACACGCGTATCTGTTTGCAACAACAGGACACACACGAACACGCCGCGAACGCAGAACGTTGCCCATGGCTACGCGCATACCAAACTCAGCCCACTTCGTTCCACGTGTATTGGTCATACGTAAGTCTTAAGTAACAACCACATGGTGCAGCCAGGGCCTACATTAGTAAATAAAACGTGAATAAAATACGATATTTTATACCCAAAGCCCACTCCTCTCGAGTCATTTTATTCAAACTAATTACTAACGCCTTTTCCTGATCCTTCTGAGCCTTTGCGACAACGCACTGCTCAGCCTCGCCTTTTTTTTTCTGATTCGTCCGAGCTTTTGCGACAACGCACTGCTCTGCCTCGTCTTCTCCCGATCATTATGAGCCTTTGCGACAACGCACTGCTCTGCCTCGTCTTCTCCCGATCATTATGAGCCTTTGCGACAACGCACTGCTCTGCCTCGTCTTCTCCCGATCCTTCTGAGCCTTTGCGACAACGCACTGCTCTGCCTCGCGTTTTTCTGATCCTTCTGAGCCTTTGCGACAACGCACTGCTCTGCCTCGTCTTTTCCTGATCCTTCTGAGCCTTTGCGACAACGCACTGCTCTACCTCGCCTTTTTCCTGATCCTTCTGAGCCTCGCCTTTTTTTCCAAGCCACGCCTGTCCCCTATCCTCAAGCACACGCTTCAGGTGGCGGGATCAGCCACCGTCCAGAGTCCCGATCCACCAGGATCCATCCTGGAGCACCGGGCAGACATTGGTGACTCACACCAAGCACCGCGCGGCTACGGCATTGCCTCGTCGGGTCGCGTCCCTCGCCTAAAGTCCCCACAGCAACTACAAATTTCTTGTAGCCGACCCTGGACAGACTGAGTTTACCCCAGCCTGAAATAGGTTCCTTACACACTTATAAGCTGTTGCGGCAACCACTCTCCTCTCAACTTTTACCGATTTCGCTTGTGATGACTCACAATTTTGGTAGGTTATAAGTAGTTATAATTGGTAGGTTTAAGTACTGAGCAGGGACACCATGAGGATTTATTGAGAAGTTTTTGTTATATATGGTTAAGTTTTCACTAGGGAATTATCTTGTTTTGTATTTTTATTAAGCATTTAGGAGAGTAATTATGAAGTCTTGGGTTATATTATTAAGTTTATAATTTTCCATTATTATTTTCTAAGTTATATTGTAAGGTGAAATTCTGAAGTCATAATTTAAGATCGCGGCCCACCGTAGCCAGCAGCAGAGCAGAGCACCACAAGCAGAACAAAGAGAAGTGACAACCCCTGAAACTATCGGAGAAAAAAAACGGGGTGAGGCTATCGAAAAACAACAGGGCTCGAGGCAAGAAAAATCTGAGCGGCCGGGCACTTAAGATCGAACCTCGAAACTACGCGGAAGCACGACTCCCAGCTACGCACCGATACCGGCACAACACGACAAAATAACCTCGCCCAACTCGGTCCGACCCACGAGAATCGAATCACGATACAAAAACACGCGTATCTGTTTGCAACAACAGGACACACACGAACACGCCGCGAACGCAGAACGTTGCCCATGGCTACGCGCATACCAAACTCAGCCCACTTCGTTCCACGTGTATTGGTCATACGTAAGTCTTAAGTAACAACCACATGGTGCAGCCAGGGCCTACATTAGTAAATAAAACGTGAATAAAATACGATATTTTATACCCAAAGCCCACTCCTCTCGAGTCATTTTATTCAAACTAATTACTAACGCCTTTTCCTGATCCTTCTGAGCCTTTGCGACAACGCACTGCTCAGCCTCGCCTTTTTTTTTCTGATTCGTCCGAGCTTTTGCGACAACGCACTGCTCTGCCTCGTCTTCTCCCGATCATTATGAGCCTTTGCGACAACGCACTGCTCTGCCTCGTCTTCTCCCGATCATTATGAGCCTTTGCGACAACGCACTGCTCTGCCTCGTCTTCTCCCGATCCTTCTGAGCCTTTGCGACAACGCACTGCTCTGCCTCGCGTTTTTCTGATCCTTCTGAGCCTTTGCGACAACGCACTGCTCTGCCTCGTCTTTTCCTGATCCTTCTGAGCCTTTGCGACAACGCACTGCTCTACCTCGCCTTTTTCCTGATCCTTCTGAGCCTCGCCTTTTTTTCCAAGCCACGCCTGTCCCCTATCCTCAAGCACACGCTTCAGGTAGCGGGATCAGCCACCGTCCAGAGTCCCGATCCACCAGGATCCATCCTGGAGCACCGGGCAGACATTGGTGACTCACACCAAGCACCGCGCGGCTACGGCATTGCCTCGTCGGGTCGCGTCCCTCGCCTAAAGTCCCCACAGCAACTACAAATTTCTTGTAGCCGACCCTGGACAGACTGAGTTTACCCCAGCCTGAAATAGGTTCCTTACACACTTATAAGCTGTTGCGGCAACCACTCTCCTCTCAACTTTTACCGATTTCGCTTGTGATGACTCACAATTTTGGTAGGTTATAAGTAGTTATAATTGGTAGGTTTAAGTACTGAGCAGGGACACCATGAGGATTTATTGAGAAGTTTTTGTTATATATGGTTAAGTTTTCACTAGGGAATTATCTTGTTTTGTATTTTTATTAAGCATTTAGGAGAGTAATTATGAAGTCTTGGGTTATATTATTAAGTTTATAATTTTCCATTATTATTTTCTAAGTTATATTGTAAGGTGAAATTCTGAAGTCATAATTTAAGATCGCGGCCCACCGTAGCCAGCAGCAGAGCAGAGCACCACAAGCAGAACAAAGAGAACGACGATGCGACCCAGAGAGCGAGAGAGAGCAAGGGCGCCGGCAGCAGCCCAAGAGCGGCCAACAGCAAGAAAGCCACGGGCGTGGGCAGCGACGGCAGCAGCGGCAGCAGCGGCAGCAGCGGCAGCGCAGCCCGGACAAGGGTCCGCAGCGAAGGGCTCGCGATCGCCAGGCAGAGCTCGCCTCGAGGAGTAATATTTTGGCAACCAAGCGGACAGGTCGCGATCGCTGCGGGAAAAAGTCCCAAGTCAGTGAGCAGTGACACACGTGGGACGAGGACACACACACCCACCGGGTTACAAGGATCGCAACGAGGACAAGGCGCCGGGCGCCTTTTTTTGGTTTCCCTTAACATAGGCAGGTCTGCATGCACACAAGTGCACTTCCCCAACACCTTCACGTGGGCACAGTTTCATAGACACTGGGGCAGCCAAAAAAAAACGTGCACAGTTTTAAAGTAATTGGCCAGGGTTTCATTTTGCACGCGTTTCGGCACTATTGTAAATTGCCCAGTTTTACGGAAACTGGGGCACCCAAAAGCACACGTGAACAGTTGGAAAATC